GCTGATAGTATGTATGCTGGCAAGGTTATAATTCATTTGTGAAGGTGGCCACCTATCGTATATGATTTCTGTTAATGTATCACGGAATTTCTGTAATTGGCAATAGATTTGTTCGTGGTAGTTATATATATCTGTTTACGTATTTGATTTGTTTGTGTGACAATGCTTTGGGTGCGGATGCGTTGGCACAGTAATGGCGCACGTGAGTGCTTTACCTACAGCGCGGACCCGTATCGTAACAATACAGATAATGTCGGAATTGCTAGAACAGCAAGTAGCTCCCGATTGGTCGTACAATACCGTCTCTGAGATGCAGAGAAGCTTTTACTACCATAAGCAGTCACCCTCTCAACCCCACTCTTTACCTGCGACAGGACACCACCCATACCAGTCGCACTCGCATCAGTATCCAAGATAAACTCAACCTCCGAACGCGGGTATGCCAACACCGGCGCCGACGAGAGCAATGACTTTAAACTACTGAACACCTCACCGCAAGACCCACCCCACTGGAAAAGCACGCTCTTCTTCGTCAGCTGTACTAAAGGCTCCGCCAGGGCTGCAAAACCAGGGATAAATCGCCGATAGTAATTAGCAAACCCCAGGAAGCTCCGCACATCACCAATGCTGCCAGGCCGACCCCAAGACCGGACCGCCTCAAGCTTTGCAGGGTCACATCGAATGCCATCACCGGAGACGACATGACCAAGGATGGCAGCACTCTTCTGAAATAGCGTACATTTCGTGGGTTTCAGCTTCACGCCTGTCGGCAACACGACAAAAAACATCACGAAGATTACCAAGAGTTACATCAAAGGTTTTACCAAAAATTATGATATCGTCAAAGTATACAAGACACTCCGTCCACAGTAAGCCTTGCAGCACACACTCCATCAACCTCTGAAAGGTCGCAGGAGCATTACAAAGGCCGAAGGCCATAACGAAAAAGTTTAAGTGACCTCTCCTAGTCCCAAACGCAGTCTTCACCGCATCCTCCGGATCCAATCTCCACCTGCCAATAATCCGAGGTTAAGTCTTGAGTTGGAAACCAACTGGCACCGTCTAAGGAATCCAGCGTATCATCAATTCTCAGCAGTGGATAGGCATCCTTACGGTAACATTATTAAGCCTTCGATAATCTATACAGAACCGCGTCGACCCTTCCTTCTTGGTGACCAACACCACCGGAGACGCCCACGGACTGCTGCTGGGCCGAACAGTGCCGGACGCCAACATCTTATACACCTCCACATTCATTATCTCCTGTCGAGCCAGGGGACACCTACGGGGAGCCTGCTTAATGGGATGATGAGCACCAGTATCAATCTTATGCTTGACTAACCCTGTATGCCCAAGCTGTTCACCCGGAGCCGTAAACAAACTCGAATATTCCCGTAGGAAAGCTGCAGCATCACATCTCTCCCGACGAGACAAACCCGAGTTCATCGACTCCATCATTACCCGCATATGAGAAGGTAGACCAGAATCAACCGGGGAACGCGAGGTATCACCCAACTCACCCGTGCCCAAACGCCTTACAACCCGAACCACATCGAGGTAAGCTAGCTCCTCCCCAGCCTCAAACACAACCTCGTCCTCACCTACATTAATAACTGACAGTTGCACATGACCCCTACACATGTCCACCAGACAGCGCGCTATCAGAATACCGTTATCGCCCACAGCACTCCTAAAACATTCCAATGGCTCTACCACCACAAGACAATCCTCCCCCATGGGACAACTGCCTTACCCATAATGATACATCCATGCCCAGCAGGGATCGATACGCGATCCACCGCATTAATAGCGCAAGGAACTAAACCCGTGCTCTCCTGCATAACATGCAATGTATCACTGACAGTCAAATGCTCTCTCCGAGCATCAATCAAGCAATCGTAACCTCTTAAGAAATCCATCCCTAGCAAGCCCCCACTCCCCCGAAGGCTGCTCTCCATTACGATTAGCTCATGCTCAAACTTCTGATCCCCGAGGCACAACTCAGCCCACATACCATACTGAGCCTGCAGAGATCTACCTTGCACATCAACCATCGCAACCTCCACGGCATGAAGAATCAGCTCCGATGCTGGAAAATTAGAGTAGGTGACACGATCAACTCTGCCCCCGTATCAACCACCAACTGCACACGCTGACCACGCAACAGTATCTCTATCTGCCATACTGGACGAGGACTCACTGGACCCCTTACGAGTGCATCAACCGTGGCCACCAGTTGCTGTGCATCAACATCACGCACTACCGCGCCCTACTGCGACCCCGATTCGGATTGCCCCTGCCTGAAGTCCGATGACCTCGAGACCCGGGGTCCTCTTAGAAATCCTCACGAGCCCGCTGGGGACTAAAACGCGCAACATGCCCCTGGCTACCACACACCCAACACTCGAAGTTACCAGCCTGCCAAGCCGGAACTCGCGAGCGTGGAGCAATAGGACAAACCCGCTGCGAATCAGTACGCCACTGCCGGTCATTCTCCTGATCACATATCATATCACGTGCCATCCGAGCCACATCCTGCAAGTCATCTCGACACAATCTAGCTACGCCCGAACCAGCGAAACCTACCCCTGACCCAGAAACCGAATCAGAGCATCGAGATACAACCCCAGCTGGCCGCACGGCCGGCTTGCGAAACGGAACAGCAAATTCACCCATTTCTGCCTCGTATTCATCCGCCAATACCGCTTACCCCTCAACAGTCAAGTCATTACGAGACATAACATAAGACTTTAAGCAGGGAACGAATGCATCACCTCCAGCAATCGACACCGCGCCTGTTCGCTAGCCTGCTCTCGACGAGAGGAAAGGTTGCGCCCTAACTGTCTACCTCTTAACCTCACGCGCATACTCCTGCCAACTCTGGCCTGGCTGGCGAACGTAGTCACGGAGAGCCGCGCGGCGCTCCAGTGCACTATCTAAAGGCTGAAATCCTGCGGTCAAAGCCCGACGAATCATGAGCTCATCAACGCCGTCATCACAATCTTCCAAAATGGCGGACGCTGGCCACTCAAGGGCCCCTACCAACCGCATCAACCTCTCCTCACTGCCCCAACCATTGAATCTGCATATCAGATCAAATTGGCGGAGAAAGCCGACCAAAGGGATACCATCTTTACCCGTGAAGGTTTACTTACCTTAATTCTACTCCCACCAGCTCTTATATGGAACCCCTCAGATTCCCTCACAAAAGGGGACGTGAAATCCACTCTTTCCCCTCCCCCTCTCACAGAGCTAGTTAGCGGACCACCCATCCGGTGAGTAAACGCTGTGCCACCCTCATGATGCCCGAACCCCGCCATCTCGTCTGCACGCCCCCGGCTAGCAGAAAACGGGTTCTCATTGACCTACCCAGAAACACGCCTGGCGCGTGGAGCAGGGGTAACAGTAGCCCGAGCCACCGACGGCGACCAATCAGCGCGTGTTGCTGCTGCCTCGTCGAGATCAACAAACCATGAAATCGACTCACGACGACGTGGGGAAGTCCTCAACAATTTTCCTGGAGAAGGGGACACTGGCGGAGTCAAACTAGTCTCCACCGGCCCACCACCCCGTGTCTGGACACCGACCCTTGACATATCGCGGTCTGGTGCAACCACGCCTAGATGTCGCCTCCCTCGCACACCCTTAGGCGGCATCGTATGCCAACCCTCCGGCAAACGTCGAGTAACTAAACTACACTACACAACTAAACCAGCACGCAACCGGCAAAACCACGGCACCCAATGCAACCCCCGTTACAAAGAGTTAAACTAGCACGCACCAGTGTAGCGTTTTGGGATCTTCCGGCGACACCAGATGGCGCCGCCGGTTAAAACGCAGTGACTAGCAACAACCTTAGGTATCTCACTCACCTGTTGTGCCCGGAGGCGTTGAAATGGCCGTATCGTCGTAATCCGGACTCCGCTAGCCACTCGAGCTCCTCAGTGCTACTGCGCTCCCACCGCAATAATCCGCTCCACCGTGTTCCGGTTCCGGTGCGTCGTGTAGTTAGTCACCAATGCAAGACGAGTAACTTCACGCACACACACAACGGGGCAACTCCCACCCTTGCCTGCTGGCCTTACGTTACGTTGAATAACAAGTGTATACTCGGGGTAAGCACAGAGGTTAAACAAATAGAATGAACTATCAACGCAGCTGGGCAAAGGGCTACAGTAACCGACAGCCTCTCCGCCCATGCAGCCGTGCACGAATAGACTAACTTCCCCTCTATTCGTGCAGAGTTAATACTTCTACTCTAGTGCTGTATTATTTACTTGCCCCACAACGACAGGACAATACTGGGTCCTGTACAATACTCACCAAATAGCCGCTCTACGCAGAACGCGGTGGCGCTCTCTTTCTCTCTCGCTATACTCTCTAGTTCTCTCTCTCTCTCTCCCTCTCTATCACAACTTGTCTCTCGTGCGCCTCCCGCCAACTGCCAAGAACCCCACGACGATTTCCCGCATATAACCTGCGGGCCAATTGTTTCGCCGTGCTCTGCCGCTAGAAGGGGGACTACTGCACCCAACATGGCGGCCCTCTTTGTAGATCTCTCAACAATCGGTAAGCAAACCCAAGACAAAACAGGACAAAGGACAGAACAATTAGACAATCACAAACACTAAACATTTACCCATATCCCGCTTCCCAGGGAGCTACCTCCCACCGTACTGGGAACCCGAGGGTCCGGTGCCACCGCTACACTTCTAAAGTTAACTGGTTTATTAAGAGATTCTATCCGATTGTTCTCCAAGATGGCTAGGTTGACTCAAGGAGCTATATATATATCACAATGTGCTGCTCTGATTAAAATCACCTCTATCCGCGTCTATTCGTCTTCTAGTGTTTATGTAAAGATAGACAATATCACTTCATGGTGGCAGCGGTGGGATTATTACTTATTAGTGTAATCTCTTCATATGATGAAGTATAAGTTAATAAAGTATAGATTAGTGCAGTTACTGAGAGTATTATATTCAAATCTGATCATCTAGGGAGAGTTCCACCGAGGACAGGTGTGTGGAACGCAAACTATTCTAGCATATCTCTCTTCGGACCCATGGATTCAACAGGATTACCTGCCGAAGAGCTGACTATAGCTGAGGTGCTGAGAGAAGCCGGCTATCGCACGGGCATGGTCGGCAAATGGCACCTAGGTAACTCTTTACTATGGTGTGTTCTCAACTTAGGTATTAGAGCACACATAGGTGCTAGAGAGTTCAAGGCTGTAAATTGGGTACCTGTAGAGTTTAGGGTAATGCAACTGAAGGTCAATAGGGTTTTTAAAATATTACATAATCTCGACCCACAGTATATGACAGAAGGTTTTATGTTAACGTCAGAAGTCCATAGTTTCAATACAAGGAAAGGCGAGATGTCTATTTTTAAACCTAGGGTGGGAAGCAGTGGGAAAAACTATTTTAACTATACTGCAATTGAAGCTTGGAACTCTCTAGCCACAGCATGTTAGGACAAATTCTGTTTATTCTAGTTTTAAGTATAGTGTTAAGAAATGTCTGATAGAAAAGGTAGAAACATTAGAGGCAGAGGAGTATGATTTTCGCTAAAAGAATTCGGTTGAAATTAGGTATAAGAAAGGTTTGTATCGTCTTATGAGAATGTTATGACCGGTTAAAACTACAAATTTGTATATTTCAATAGTTAGTGCTGATAGTAGTGTAATTGTTAGTAACATCAAGGCATAGCAAAACAAGGACCACAATGTAAATAAGGGTGCTAGTCATGCGTTTTGTGTATATATATCCTTGGTAGTTATTCAATTTTATGAATTCAGAATTTTATTGTAAAAGTATGCCATGTATTGTATATGATGGATAATTGCATAAATAAATAAATAAAAAATATAAATAAAATATGATGACGTCACGAGCAGACGACTATAGGAATCACTAGGCTTATATTTGGGAGCCAAATTATCGCGTTGTTATTGGGTTGTACCTAAGTATGTGATACATATAATACACGTATCGCAAATAGTATGTATAGTACGTAGTACATATATATAATACATTTAGAATGAGCACATAAACTTTATTTTTTGCTATTCTTGCTTTATGTGCTTTTCATATAGTACAAACCGGTATATATAGTACATATAGTACAAACCGGTGTATATATAGTACATATAGTACAAACCGGTATATAAAGTACATATGATACGTGTAGAACATATAGTACGTAGATTATTTATCAGGTTATTTCTGTTAACACGATTAGTTCTGTTTAATCATTCACTCCCAATGACAACGTGTTGGTTTCATATCCAAATGCTCTCACATAAATATAGCTACAACAAATTCAAACAAGTACAAATATCGGATCAACGAAATAAAGCCAGTAATTAACGCATATAAAGAATGACTGGTTGCATTGATCATGCCCCTTGTTAGCGAGTGGTCGGTTGCACGTTATATATATATATATATATATATATATATATATATATATATAACCTAAAATTCAAACATGTAAAACTGGGAACTTTAGAGTACTTTAGATATTATGAGAGATTAGATATTAGACGAGCGCGAAGCGCGAAGTCACTTGCGGCCGGAGTGCAGGGCCCGCCTTAGGGCTCTGGAAGCTCAGGGGTTTTAGATGCTCTTCGGTGCAATCTGAGCCTTATTTTGGAGCATTTTTGCACAAAATTTATTACCTATATTTTAAAATAATATGGGTTGAGTCAAGAGTCATGAGTGATGAGTCATTTTTCATTGTTCAATTTGTATACTAGTATGAATGTAACCAGTAAAATGTTATAAAGCAATGTGCAGGCACGTACGCACACACACCCAGGCACGCGTACAGGCACGCGCGCCAAGCAGCTCAGAAGACGTAGACGTGACTCGACTGTCCGACAAGTGGGAGACCATGCACAGCGTAAAGCAGTGTAATAGACTGTAACAGTGTATGCTACAAGCTACGCATACGTCGTCCCGTTCGACAGTGTAATACAGTTGCATTTTGCTTTGTTTGTGTTGTTTCTTGCTTTGATATTTCAAAGCTGTCGGCCTGGAATCCAAACCTGTCGGCGATTTTTAAACATGTCGGCCCAAAATTCAAACCTTTCGGCCTTACATGTTAAAACCCCTCGTGGGCCACACTATATATGCAGAAAATATTGAAATGACAACAACTGGAGAGATAATATTATGCACTAACGTTTTTACTTCATTAGCGCTTCAGGTGCATATGCAATCTTACATCAATATTTTCTGTGTAATTTAACTTGCATTTGGTAAATTGAAAACTTTATATATATATATATATATATATATATATATATATATATATATATATATATATATATATGCGTGTGTGTGTGTGTGTACTTGACACAGGAACGAATCAGTATAACTCGTCTGATGGTGTTCACCTGCCGCATCACCATGGCTTCGACTACGTCGGTACGTCACTACCATTCTCGATGACGTGGCACTGCGACGAACATCAGGTAAAACTATAGTATACTAATAAATCAATAAATCAATAAGTAAATAAATAGATAAAGGAAAAAATATATAAATAAATGAATAACAAATAAATACATATAAATAAACTTACAACAAATAAATGAATAAATAAAATAAATAAATACAACAAATAAATACATATAAATAAACATACAACAAATAAATAAATAAATGAAATAAATAAATACAACAAATAACATATAAAACAAGAAAATACAACGCTCAATATACAGCAACAGCAACAACAACAACAATTATAACAATAACAACTACAACTACAACAACAATAATAATAACATAACCTACACAAGATACTTCGATTGCAAACCACGCACGCATGCAACACTGAGACTTGGTTAGTTATCCCTCGTATGGATGCCTATAGATGGCATATAAGGCACGCAGACCAGCAGTAGAATTACTCGTTATTCAAGCAACGTGCAAAACCTTTCAGATTCACATTCCCAAGCCGCCTCCATTCTGCTTCCTCTACAGAGGCGCGGAGCTGGTGCAGCAACCGATAGACATGCATCACATGACCGAATCGATCGTAGAAGACGCCGTCAGCTTCATCGAAGATAACGTTGATCGGAAATTCTTCCTCTATCTGTCGCTGACTCACACTCACATAGATCTCACCGTCACTCCGAGATTCCACAAGTCCTCCGCTAGAGGTGCGCCCATTATATATGTGGTTTTTTATTCGTTATTTTGGCGGAATCTTTTATATTTTTACATAATATATTTATTTATCCACAAATGGCAATGATGTATATAACGGCCACTGAAGGGAAACGACAAAACTGGCCTTCGCGGACAGATGGCCGCTATATAGAGGTGGTGCACAATAGAATAATTACCACGAAAGATTTATTATCATGTAGTAATTATCAATTGCATGAGCTTGTTGTTTGTTGTCTATGCAGGCAGGTACGGTGACAACGTTAATGAGATGCAGTGGGTAGTAGGGACGGTCCTCGATACGCTACAGTCACGCCATCTACAAGAGAATACTCTCGTCTTCTTCGTTTCTGACAACGGTCCCGATGTTAATATATGCGAGGAAGGCGGTTCCCCCGGTATACTACGGGTATGTCTCTCTCTCGTCCCTCATCTCTATCTCTCTCTCTCTCTCTCTCTCTCTCTCTCTTTGTCTTCCTTCTTTCATCTCTCTCTCTATCTCTCTCTCTCTCTTTTCTCTCTCTCTCTCTCTATTTGTCTCCCTTCTTCCATCTTTCTCTCTCTCACACTCTCTCTCTCTTTGTCTCCCTTCTTCCCTCCTCTTTCTCGCTCCCTCCCTTTCTTTCTACAGTAACTCTTTTTCTATCCCGCTCTCTCTCTCTTTCCTCCCTTCCCATTCTATCTCGCTTGCTCTCTCCCTCTCTCGCGCGCTCTCTCTCTCTCTTTCTTTTTCTCTCGCGCGCGCGTACTCTCTTTTTTCCTGTGTGTCTCTACATCCTGTCCTACTTCTCCGTAGCAAACAACATTTTTAATTATATATCGTATCATAACATTTAAATGACATATTTATACAGGCAACAGCGGACCGGAAATATGGCCGCGTGTTCCATCAATAATGCCTCGTAATTATTGAACCATATTTATTTCACGGACGCACCTCTATATGAAGACATTTAAAGCAGTTTGGTAATAAAATGTCATAATATTACCATTTCAAATTAATTTTTAGTAATTTGTATGAAAAATTTCAATGAATAATCTAGTGGCCCATCTTACCCAGAACAACGGGGTAAGATGGGACGGTGACCAAAATTTTTGATGGTCTATAAATCAATCAATACTCACTTCAATTTAGTAACGATTGATAATGTTATTCTTTTCATTGTTATTGATCACCCACAAAGATATTTTGGATGTAAAGTTGTTTTAGTGGGTTTTACAGGGTTTCTACAAAACGTGTCCCATCTTACCCGTGTCTCCCCTACCACGAACGCCGTTCGTTTATGATTACAGGGTGGTAAAGGTAAAACCTGGGACGGGGGAATCCGCGTGCCTGCTGTAGCGTATTGGCCATGTCGCATTCAGGCCGGCCACACATCTAAAGCTATCCTCAGCACCACTGATCTGCTGCCAACGTTCGCCGAGCTAGCACGCAAACAGCTGCCTACCGACATAACGATAGACGGTGAGGGGGAACAGTTATAGCTTCATCATCGCGAGTTAACATTTATCGTGTGTTACCTCGATAGACGAACGTTCGCTTATCTAACGCAAATAACAGCTTTATTTAGATGTAGGTTAGTTTTTTATTACCCTAATCATAATACCCTCCTATTCGTCTATACGTTATTTGTACTGCCTCGTATAACGTTTGCTAGTTGTCATAATTAGCGACTGACAAAAGTTCTGTTCTCTTAAATTCCATATATCATTTTTAGTAGTAGTAGTATTATTACCATCATCATCGTCATCATCATCATCATCATCATTATCATCATCATTATCATCATCATCATCATCATCATTATCATCATCATCATCATCATCGTCATCATCATCATCATCATCATTATCATCATCATTATCATCATCATCATCATTATGATTATTATTATTATTATTATATAGGAAAGAGCATGAGTAGCGTTTTGTTTGACGGCAGCGCCACCTCTCATGAGATTCTCTACTTCTATTGTGCCGACGTCTTAATGGCGGTGCGATACGGAAACTACAAGATCCACTTCCGGTCTCAGAGCGTCAGTCCGCCAGAGTACTATGACGACGACTCGACTTGCGTCAATGGCGTGCCTCAGGACTTCCCCTTCCTTTGTTATGACTGCGAGGGCGACTGCGTGACGTCACACGACCCTCCGCTGTATTTCGACATTGAGAATGATCCCGGGGAAAGATGGCCGCTGGGGGAAAATAAGATTCCTGAGGAGGTGTTATTGAGGGTGGCGTCGCTAGTGTTTGAGCACAAGAAGGGCATGGTTGCGAGATCAGCAGAGATCGGATCCGAGCCGCTAGACCCTAGTCTGCAGCCATGCTGCAACCCACCAGCATGCACTTGTAACTACCCCGGTAAGATATGACGCATGGATGGTGAATATGATGCATGGAGTCCCCCTTGTCCACTGACCTCTATATACTAGCTGTTAGTATAATATAGAGATGACACTGCCACTAGTATATCCGTGACGCAAGCCCGTGTATTTTGCCGCTCTACCGGGAGAAATAATTATGAAGCGCACATTTCAGCATTGTTTGTAATTAAGACAGTAACATGGTTGTGGTGTGTATACGGTGTAACAATAAAATAGTTATAGACTGTGTATGTTACGCGGGTGTGTAACTACCTTTAATATCAATTAGTTTTTTTAAATCTTACAAGTTGCTATTGAATAAAAATTGCGTGTCGAAATTGAAATTGTTCGCAATCCATCGTTCTCGGTTATTATAAAAATTACAGATATTTCATTCATGTATCACTGTTGATGAAAATGTTTCATATGTGAAGAAACCACTTTATTGCCGAATCTACCTTGCTCTATTCCTTCTACCACGCTCATTACTCTCTCTCTCTCTATCTTTCTTTCTCTCCGTCTCTTTTTCTCTTGCTCTCTATCTCTCTCTCCTTCCGTCTCTCTCTCTCTCTCTCCGTCTCTTTCTCTCTCTCCGTCTCTCTCTCTCTCTCTCTCTCTCTCTCTCTCTCTCTCATAGGCTTAAATTTGGGGTTATACGCAACATACCTTAAATAGCGTCGTCGCCCCTCGTACTCCTCAATATCGAATCATAGATCATTAAACATTGTCGTCTGTCTATCATTATACGTAGTAGAGACATAGAGCTTTTCGAACATCTGAAATACGTCATATAAGTAAACATGATGGCCAGAGGTATGTACACAGATTTCCTCCTCCGTGTCTCCCAAAGATACGTGAACAGGCAATAAGGTTTACAATATCTGAATAACAAAGAGAATTACACAAATGCAATCTGTTCAAAACGAACTTCGTGAAACTTAAGTGGGGCATTTTCTAATCCTCGGCATTCTCATTAATATTTAATTCTCATTATATACTAATATATTATAAAATCGATTACTTTGTAATAGGTTTACATTATTTGAAAACTTAACAGCAAAGGAAGCCACCACAGGATCACTTAGATTGGGACAGATTCTGGATTATTTCTTATTGTTGTCTGCACTATTCTTGCGTCACGAAGCATGGCACTCGCTCAGCTTTCCCTTATAACGCGGTTCAGAATTTCTATCGTTTTAAGCTTAATACGTGATGGTGTTTAAAGGACCTAGTGGTGCCCGAATGTTTCATTTAAATAACAATGATGTAAAATCAGTAAGCTTACAATCAGCGGTAGACCATTTAAATTGGGGAGGGACATAGCTTGCTACGTGGGCCACACGCCAAATAACAACAAGAAATAGTTTAATTTATATAGCTTACGGCGCGCGTGCTCTTCGATAGCTTGCGTTTGCTCTTGTTGCTTCTTCACAATGAACTCTAGTAGAAGACAGAGCAGAGCGATGTATTAATCCTGATCAGTAGCACGAGTAGATTCCTGACATGGTGTGTAAGTTTAAGACTGCGTCGCTTGTACTGTATTCCTGCCTTCTGGCTGGCGAGCATTCGAGTGTGAGTGAGGGAGGATGGCTAGAGACAAGTTTTGATTGAAGAGACGCTCTCCATATACCGTTGCAGACCTATATTGAATGCGCTTCGCTGCGTTTTACTGCATGTCGGCACGATCCATGTCATATCACTTGCATGTATTTTGCACCGGAAGCTACAGGCTAGTCTGCAAGTTCCTGTTGCGCGCATCAGTCAGGGACGCACGATAGCATCACCATTGCTATGATACTGACGAAGAAAACGCATATTCTCCGTGAGAACGACGTTTCCAGTGGGCGCATACTGCTACTGGCTCACAAGCAGCCCGCGCATCCGCGGAGATTTTTTTCTGCCACAACTTTCGCCAGGTCAGACTGCTGAGGCTGTTTGCTGCATCTTGTCTAGAATCCGCCCATCCTTCAACTGCGGTCGGTGTGATAGACCGGATGAAGTGCAAATTCATTTAAGTGTCTCAAACGGATACTGTATTGTCGGCTTAATAGTAAGAAAACTGACGCTAGATTCCACTGTAGCAAAAGCGGCAAACAATAATAACAAAACCACGCACATAGATAGTAAGTTTCGGGTTGAAAAGATGTTCGAGCAAGCTGGACTCCGCCCTGCTGCAGGAAAGAACGGCAAGCGATGAAGAGCCGAACATGGTGACCTATACTTGTTGTAGATTCCGTATTTTCCTTCTACGCGCACTTGTCCTTCTGTGACCATCGTTCCAATAGCTACGCCTGTTTTTTTTTTTTATTTTTATTGTTTTTTATTATTTTTTATTTTTTTTTTTTTTTTTTTTTTTCTTTTTTTGTTGTTATTGCTGTTTTTTTCTGCACAAGTAAATATGCAGCAGGACCAAACGGAGATGTAGGCTGTCAAATGACTATATATTTAACATTTCAATCTCCTTCTCTGGTCTTGTTGATAAGGAACCGCATGGTCGTGCATTCAGGAGTGGTGTTAGAAATTGTACGATGCTCGCTACGTTGGTGTGTTTTTGGTGAAAAAGCCAATTTGGCAGGTCTAATAATCCATCTCTTATCGCTGCAATCGCTTCTTGATGCGTGTGTCCGTGTGGCGAATTGTGGTAGCGTGAAATTGGGGCGATAGCTATCAAATCCGCTAGCAATCGTTTTAGAAAACGAGCCATTGAGCTGCTCTCAGCGAATATGAACCATAGGTTCCCAACTTTTATGTGTGGTGCACCGAATTCAGTTTTGCTGCGATACCGCGTAAAGGTTGGAGTTGTCATTCGCTGGTCGGCAGCTTCATCTTGGAGTTGTTACTAGCAGAGGGGATCTAGACAGGCTGAGAAGACTGATGGGTTGGTGTTGAACGCGAACGACGCTGACCGGCGGCAGTAGAGTGGTAGACGAGCAGGTAACGTAAGAAGCCATGTCGTTCGGATGAGAAATACTCTAGTGAACGTGTGTGTTGCAATAGAGCTGGCAAGGCTATTTCCTCGTCTCACATGCCGCGTGTCTTAGCCAGTATGTACATTATAAAACATTTGGCAGCGCAGTTGTTTGTTGGGAACAAACATAAATTTCGTTAAAGCTACATGCGTGTCGTTGTCACGTATGATGTATCTTTTCCATTCTCGGCATGCCCAGGTAAACCTAAGCAATTGTAATGTTGCGCATGACGAGCTAATTGAGATTGTTTTGATATGAGACACGAGCCAAATGAAAGTATGACAATGAGAAGCAGAGCAGTCAGATAGACTTCTGCCAGGCGAAAGTCAGTTCTCATACTCTCGCTGTCATTAGTCATGCGCTGATAATGCTTAGGAGTTCCCTGTCCTAGATTTGAGAACGGATGATACTAGATGGTTTTACTTTTTCTCATAGGCGATACTACAGGAGTCTATAATAGGCTCGCTGTAATGTTTATGTAATTCCAACCCCCCTTTGGTTCTCCCTAATGAGTGCTCGTCTGTATCGAACAGGACCGGAAGTTCAGCAAAAACACTGATCAGCATTATGTGGCAGGCAGAGCTTTATTCATAAAGTAAATTGGGATTAAATCCAGAGCTTATCGTCAATGTCGTTCAGGCCTTCAGGCATCATCATCTAGCACGAGGATGTTCTCAAATGCATCAGAATGAGCAGCACTGAACATTTAATCAGAAGCAATGCATTGTAAGCTATATATTCAAACTTTTATCAGAAGCAAGCTTCACTAGCTTTGTGAATTGTGTGCCGTCTGAGGGCCAGCTTCGCTGCGAAAGCAGCTGGATGAACTCCCAATTAACATTTGCAATGTGCGCCCCTCAGCCTTCCCAGCATTCGATCTATACCCCACGCTGGCAATATCGGGCCAGATGGGACAAGTGGTTTAGCACGTTTGACCCGTTTGGCTAGTCGAATGGACATTCTACAGATCAGCTAGCCACGTCAAGCCCTGTTATACATTATGGCCAGGCCCAGCAGTAGACGAAATTTATGACACGTTTGGCCTTACAATTGCCGGATCCGGGTTAGGGCATGAAACGGTTTTTGCCTGTGTCTGCCACGGCGCTGAGCACTTATTTCCAGCAGGCGCACGAAGCACCGCTTTCGATGTTTACACGTTTAGGCAGTGCAGCGCGCAGAAGCGGGTGAATCTATCTATACGTATGTCAACACGACTTCGGAAGCTTGCCAAGCTTGTGGATTCGATGATACGAAAAATAAATCAGAATCCGATTATCCTAGCAATGCTCCTGCTCAAGGCTTACGGCGACGCGCTTTACGCAGAGATCTGCAAACTTGATCCATTAATCGCAGGCAGCTCGAGCTCTATGAGCTTAAGTGAAACAAAGGGCCGACAAAGTGAAATCGCTGCCAAAATCGTGTAAATTTCATACACAGACGCAGCCAGTCGTGTAGCGGTCAGCAACGACCTCGCGATGCTGGTGACGCCTCAAGACATCGTGCGCATGTCGAGACATCGCCATCAGCAGCATCCCGCAGCATCGGATAGAGTCGAATAGCACGAAAACTAGCCAGCATCCCAAAGACACACAAAAACTTGTTATTTCCTGCGGTGGAATTCAGCACGCACATCACGAAAAAGGACGCCTCACTGCCCGCTACAGGCAAGGAATGCACAGCTTGTCGTTTGCCGGACATCTTGAGGCAAAGTCTGTAAAGGAGCCGTCGAGGTCAAAAAGACTCAAAACGCGATCAGGGCGCAAGAATGCGGCGAACCCGCACGGTTTTCAAATGATGATGGATACAATACGTTTTATTCGGTGGCAGAATATCCGCCGTGTGACAATCGCTCTAGCCCAATCAGGGGGAATGCGACTACCACGCTGCCGTATAAAACTTAACAGTAGTCCTGTGCAATTCATGAATCGAATTCCGGTGCGTCAGTAAATCATCATTGATAAGAAATCATAGCAACGAATTACGCAAATCGCGTACCGCACACGAGAACAGCTCAGGCGACCCCGAACTGCGATGTGGTATCCTTTATGGTTTGCAAAGACGCCGATACCTGTGTCATCGGAATGCTTTACGCCAACGTCACGTCAGCCCGTGAAGCATCGATAAAGGGCAGTATTCTACGTCGTCTGCGGAGACGAGGTGTAACGCTTCTTAGTTTCGGCGATCGCCGCAAGCACTTTGACATAATTTACATAAACCTGTAACGTCAACGTTAGAGCCGCTCAAAGCTCAAAATCTGAAATCGTCGAAGCTTTCTGTGACCTATTCAATAAAAGGTATTGGAAAACTGTCGGCGACTGCTCAAAGCAGAACTAC